CTCTTCAACGAAAATGCCACTAAGAAAACAACTGGTAGTACTGAACTTCCAGCCATCAGTTCAGAACTTCATTCCTTTCATAAGCTCCTTCTCATGTTTAATTTTGCAGCAGGAGTCCTTCAAGATTTCTTCCCTCTTTGCTCCTCATTACAGCTGTATTCTTAACCACAGGGCAAAGAACACTCTGTTTGTTCCTTGTCTGTAAGCTTTCTGACATCCTTTCAGGCTTAGGTTCATCTTAATCTGACTTTTATTTGGACTGACTTAAAAAAACTTTAAATTTATGCTGTAAGTGACTTGGGATCTTAACTTCTCCTCCTGGCCCTTTCTACAACCACATCATTCATCACTATGACAATCCTTCCATCTTCTGCTTTGTCCTCCAAAGTGCATCATAAATAGTTAACTAGATGTAATAACAGAAGTAAATACATTTAAAGAAGGAATACCTTTGAGGTGTACTGGAAGATGTCAGCAATAATCCTCATTGATGGTTCTGGGGGGAAAATGTAGGTATTTCGGACCATGAACTCCTTCAAGATGTCATTTTGGATTGTCCCTGTCAGCTTGGCCTGAGGCACTCCCTGTTCTTCTCCAGTTACAATGAATGTTGCCAAAATGGGAATAACAGCCCCGTTCATTGTCATAGAAACTGACATTTTCTCTAAAGGAATTCCATCAAAAAGGATTTTGGTGTCTTCCACTGTATCAATGGCAACTCCAGCCATCCCAACGTCTCCTCGAACTCGTGGATTGTCTGAATCATAACCACGGTGGGTGGCTAGATCAAAAGCAACAGATAATCCCTGCTGGCCAGCTGAATGAAAAAGAAAAAAAAAAAAAGCCAACAGAGAAAAGTGTTGAACAGACTTGTATTAAAACTGGACCTACATTCATTAATTTTATTTTAGATGATCCAGGCTTGGATGAGAAACCAATTTTTTATGTTAAACAATGTTTCCTCCCCAGACATGTCCAAGGTCTTCTAGACTTAAACTTTAAATGGAAAAGCTTTTAAATGAGAAAAAAACAAACCCAAACCTGTAGCCCTTCTGACTCAGTCACACAATCAGTTTACCATGCTTAGCAAACCAATTAATACAGTTTAGCCACAATTTGCAAATGTGCATGGACAGACAGTATCAGGGTTTATATATAGCAATTCCACTTAGCTGGAAACAAAAGCATGATAAATGACTTCCCATTACCTTTTTTTTAATCACAAATTAAACACATGCACACAAATTGCTATCCTGCCTCCAGTGACAAATGTTTATTTGTAAAGCAAAGTGATACATTACTAAATCTGCAGTAGGAGAAAATTACTCATAAGGCAGGGAACAGGATACTTAGAGCTCTTGGCAGACTTGTTGCTGCAACCAGAAAGCAGTACCCCAAACTCTGCTGTTCCCAAGCATTCACACTCTCTGCCCAGCACTGCTGTTCCTGAAGTAACTGGATCTACTGCATTTGCAAATTCCCTTCTCAACACCAGGAGAGCTCTGGTCAGATACCAGCCATCATCCCTTATCTGAAAAGCTAAGTGTTAGTTCTGAAGAACAATGACATAAATGTAAATGTCTGCCTAGTTTCAAGCAATAGACATTTCAACAATTATGAGAACTAACAACTCTTTTACAGCATTTCTCCAATTAGAGAGCTATTTTAATTGAATTATTAGAAATGCTTTACAAATAACAAGGTCAGATTGAGAATCTATGCTAAATAATTCAATATTAATACAACTATTAACACACTAAGATAAAATTACAATATCACAATTTCAAAGCTCAAATATTTTAGAGCGAGGTGTCCCTGCCCATGGCAGGGGTGTTGGAGCTTGATGATCTTGAGGTCCTTTCCAACCCTAACTATTCTATAATTCTATGATTCTAAAGATGGCAGCAAACATACTTTGAGTAACCAAGCTGTGCCAACAGCTAACCCAAGCATTAGCATTTCTGCTTCAGCAGCAGTGTTCCCCAGAAAACCAAGTATATCCAGAGCAATCTTTCTAGTTAACTGTTTGTTTGTAAACCTCTAATACCCTGTATTTATAACTTCTTAATCTCCTGAGAGTTTTATAAACTGAAAGAATCAATAGTACTTGCAAGGATACTAAAGCAGCTAATACTGCTTCGTATTAGCTAACCCTGACTATCACAGGAGGTAAATACCCACAAACACCATCACCCCCCAGGCAGTTATGTTTTAGGTAGGAGGGACTGTAAAGTGGGAAATAAAAAGTGCCACAGATAATTACTTATAAGTAGTATGTATTTATAAGCTAATTTAAAATTTATAATATTAGATGGAAACCCAAAACGTCAGAATGCACTAACACCGGAAGTTTAGCCAAGTGACGCCAAGTTCAACATCGTTTTCTGCTGCAATCTTCTCTCACAATCCCATAATAAGCATGAAGTGCTCCATAATCTCTGCTGCTTGGACCCCTGAATGCAGCCAAATTATGACTCTCTAGCTGTTAAGGCAGAATAACTGAAAATAGCATTTAGCACCTTAGTTTTTCTACCTGAATAGCAAAGTGGAGCAAAAGCAGTTTCAGAAATGATCCAGTTTACCAGTAATAAAGAAATACAGTGCCATTGGGAAGATCCTATCAGAAATCAAAAGTCACAAGGCAGAATAATTACATTCACCATGTAACTCACCACATGAATGATCCCCACTGTTCTGCAAGGCAATGTGGTTTCCCAAAGTAGCCGTCTTACCTTTAATGTTGTCTTTGTAGAACTTATTGCTCTCCTCCACTGTACTGAAGCCAGCATATTGGCGGATAGTCCATGGCCTGTATGTGTACATGGTTGGGTAGGGTCCTCTAGTGTAAGGTTTCATCCCTGGCAGTTCCTCAGGGAGGTCTTCCGTGTCCCTTTTGGAGTATAAAGGCTTGATGTCAATCCCCTCTGGGGTGCGCCAAATTAAATCCTTTGGATTCTTGCCTTTCAGCTGCTTTTCAGCAAGGGCAGCCCACTCGGGGTGCAGTGGCTGCCTGTGCAGCGAACGCCATGCGAGCCGGCAGGCTGGAAGTTGTGCCGGGTGTGTGCAGTGGTGGGGCCACAGGCGCAGTAGGGCATCTTTGGCTCTTAGCATGGCTGTCCCACTGGCTGGTTATTAGGGGGCAAGCTGAGTAAAATAAAAACACATATTTTGCATTATCATACCAACCCAGCATGGGAGAAGTAAGCATGGAGAGGTCTAGCAGTTTGCTAAAGCCAAAACTACTACTAAAGAAAAACTAATTGTTTAATTATGCACGTGATAGATATCCTCCCCCTGCCTTTCAACCAGACAATGTATAAACTGAGTTCAGGAAAAAAATCCTACATTTTGTTCTTGCTACAACCACATATAAAACTTATTATAGTCCCCAAGCAACACCATCATTAATCAGTCACTGAAAAAAATCAGTGCCAGGCATGAAGGCAGCATGCCCAGCTACCTGCTTACCTTCCCATCTTTCTCATCTATGAATTCATTAATGGCGAAGAGGAACCCCCAAAGAGACATTCTGAAGGAAGTGGACTATCAGAAAATTGCTGACAATCGTACACTTTGGGAAAGGGGGCTTGGGCTGGATGGAAATCAAAGATATACTGAGAAAGGTGCTATGCAAGAACACGTGGATGATACGAGCTGCAGAGCTCACCCCACCATGCATGAGACTAATATGGGGATAAGTTAAGTAACTCTGGAATGCTGTAAGTTCTGCAGCTTCTGCTCTGTGTATCCTATCACTGCACTTCCTTCACAAGCCAAAACCTTTACAGTTTGGCTCCAAGGTCCTGTCAACTCCTCTCCAGCTCATAACCTTCAGAACTCCCTGCACACATGCTTCCCTGACGCCTTTATGAGAAAGTATACATAAAACTGGAAAGCATCTTTATCACCATATGAAGATTGGCTGAGAAAGTTGCGGCTGTTCAGCCTGGAGAAGAGAAGGCTGCGTGGAGACCTCATAGCAGCCTTCCAGTATCTGAAGGGGGCATACAGGGATGGTGGGGATGGACTCTTCATTAGGGACTGTAGTAACAGGACAAGGGGTAATGGGTTAAAACTTAAACAGGGGAAGTTTAGATTGGATAGAAGGAGGAAATTCTTTCCTGTTAGGGTGGTGAGGCACTGGAATAGGTTGCCCAAGGAGATTGTGAATGCTCCATCCCTGCCAGTGTTCAAGGCTAGGCTGGAAGAGGCCTTGGGTGATATGGTTTAGAGCGAGGTGTCCCTGCCCATGGCAGGGGGTTTGGAACTTGATGATCTTAAGGTCCTTTCCAACCCTGACCATTCTATGATTCTATGATCACAGTTACGGTGCTGCAGCAACATGCTCTACGCAAGTGCTTTAATAATAGATATGCCACGTGTGCTTTACACATAATCTGATAAGTACGAAGATGCACCAGAAGAGTATTGAGTTCCCCGCAGAGACGGGACCCTGCAGCAAGGATCAAGGCAACCTCTGACTCCACTGCTCAGCGCGCCTCCCCCGGCCACGCACCCCGAAGTAACCACAAAGCTTCCCTGTCACCTTCCTACAAACCTCCCCCGCCACCCCCATACCACTGCACCCACACCCGGAGGGTGGACAGAGACCAGAAAGCACCGTTCATCCGCCCCTCAGCGCCCCGCCCCGCCTGGCCGCCCCATAACCGCCCTGCCAGGCCCAGCGTCTGTGCGCGCCCAGCGCCCCCCGCCGCTATACCCTGCCCCCAACACGCCCCCATGGCGGCCAATGAGACCGCAGGTCGGGTGCGGGCGCTGTCCCTGAGGGTCGCGGCCCTGCCCGCCAGCGGGACGGAGACGGGGACGAGCTACAGAATCACGACAGACCCCAGACACGGCTACCCTCCGCTACCTGCTGTCTGCCCCTCAGCTGGCAAACGACACCCGCGCAGCACGGCGCTTGCGCGTTGGGCCGCAAGGCGCATGCGCACAGAGCACCGCTCGTGCACCGCCCTCCATGAGGGAGGCGGGAACGAGCAGTGCGCGTGCGCCCCGTTGCGCGGGCAGAACGGTTTGCTAACGGCTCGGCGGTCCAGTGCGAGATCTGCGGGTGTGTTGAGGCTCTGAGTGAGTGTCGGGGCCGTGGGTGGGTGTCGTGGTGGTGAGATCTGGAGGATGGTGTTGCGGAGGTTCCCGCGGTGTCGTCCCGCAGCAACGGGGGGTAGGAGTTTGGGGACGGGGCCAGATGGGGGGGGGGTGAAGACTACAACTCCCAGCATGTATTTCGCTCGGGAGCCCTATAGCCGTGACGGGCAGTATTGCATTCCGGGAGTTGTAGTCCGCTCTGAGGACTAGTGGATTCTGATAATGTTGCCCCACAAAATCAGTGGTTACTGGAGGACGGGGGAGAGACGGGGGTTGTTTATAGGGCCATGGGGGAATGGATTTAAACTGACATAGGAGAAATGTAGATTAGATAGAGGGAAGAAACTCTTCCCTGTGAGGGTGGTGAGGCCCTGGCACAGGTTGCTCAGAGAAGCTGTGGCTGCTCCAACCCTGGCAATGTTGAACGGGGCATGGAGCAGCCTGGTTTGGTGGAAGGTGCCCCTGCCCGTGGCAGGGGTTGGAACTGGATGTGCTTTAAAGTTCCTTCCAACCCAAAGCATTCTGTGATTTACCTGGTGCTCATTGTGACTGTCGTCTGTCAAGCTGCAGTCCTCTGTGTGAAGGGAGAAGTGGCCTGAGGGAATGCAAGAAAAACTGAATACATCTGAGTTGTTGTACTTAAAAAAGAGAAAGCTAGTGGGGTGTAACAGCTATTCTCTCTTTATGTGGCTCTTTTTTCCTCCATCTCTATAGCGAGTAAGAAAAGAAAGTGTAGGTTTAAACTGCAGCTGATGTGAGGTGTTAACCAATACAAGGGAGTTAGTGTTAAGGGATGATTTATTAGGGGCTGAAGTTTCATGCTAAACAATGTAGACTGCTGATAAGATGAAGGAACCATAAATTAGTTCCTGCCCTCTGGACCTCTAAGCTGGCTAAAACCAGGTTTAAACACCCAGGGAGCATGCCTGACAACTAGAGGCGAAAAGTTCAGGCGCGAGGTGAAAAGTTGAGACTCGTTTACTTCATCTTGAGACCCTTGCCCACGATCATCAGGGGACACTGTGCAGGCGCAAAGGGCCTTTTAGCTCATTATAATACGAAGCAGGGATAGGACATGAATATGTATAGCTGTATTGTGTAACCAAATACATATGTATTACTTTAGAAAATAAATGTAGAGGGAAACAACACTAGGCTGCATATGCCTTTGGAGGAGCTATTCCCCATGCGCCTCAGTGATGAATAAAAGCATACCTACTTTACAACCTTAACGAGTTGTGGAGTTTATCCACATATCACAGCAAGGAACATTATAGTTAAATGCTAGGGCAAAAAGTTCTGGTAATAAGATGACTGTACTAAACTGCATTACGAAGATAAAGAATTTCTATTGCTGGAGGCCTTTAGGAACAAATTAGACTGTTCAGTTTAGAAAGAGGTGTGAAACAAAGACTCATCTAAAAGGCAAATGGGGATGCTTTTTTAGTGGTCCTGCACTTAACTAAGTATGCAAGACTTAAAAGGCTTAGGGTTAGCAAACATGTAAATGTTTGGACTCATTTAATACTGGGTATTTCCATCTCATTTTGCTTGTTAATGTGTGGTTGTGCTGTATGGGCTGTAATTGCTGGGTTTTAACTTGGGTTTTCTTTCCTCCTGCTTCATTTGGTTTACGGATAATAAAACATCATGTATCTTGCAGTAAAATGGGGAAGACTGCTGGTGGGAGATCAGCAAAAAAACCAGTTAAATCACAAAATCAACCAGGGCATTCCAGCAAGAAAAAGGGAACAGATACAGAAGGAATAAAACAAGGTCATAAAGGAAAGGTAATCGTTATTTTGTATCAAATTAGAAAGGTAACCAAAGGGGGGGGGTAGAGGGAAGAGCCATTTTTGCCTATTTTTGAACTGGAATTTTTAGAGAATATTTCATTAACTAAACACAGTCCTCTTGAGGAAATGTCCAGTGTGAACAGGTCTTTTGACACGCAGTGCCTTAGCTGCTTCCTGGTTTCTAGAATTTCTAGCTGTGTGCTACTGTGCCTGTGACAAGTAGAGGGAAGCATTGACCAGTCATTGATAAAAGGGCAGGCTGGCTGTGCAGTTATGAAGAGCTGCATAGCATCTGTTTGAACATAGTGATAAACTCAGATATCATTTAGCTCTATTTGTTCAGTCCTGGAATATGTTCCCTGCATGTCTCAGGATAGGCATAGGCAGCTTTTTGTTGGAGAGAGTTTGCTTAACCCCTGAACTTATGAATGTCATGAACTCAAGATGTGGCTAGATAGCCAAACACCTTATGCATTTCATATTTCATGACTTCATTCTTGGAATGGGATGAATGAAGATGAGTGAATTGCTTTCCTCAACCTGCTTGAGATGAATTACTATTTTGCAGTTCAAAAGCCTTTTTTGTGGTGAACATTAATAGAACTCTGTCAAGCATCGTGTCGTGGTTTAACCCCACCCAGACAGCTTGTGCACTCACTCCCCCCCCTCTTGCCCTCCCCCTACTCCTGGGGGAACGGAGAGGAAAATTGAAAAGAAATGCAACTCCCACGGGTTGAGATAAGAACAGTTTAGTAACTAAGGTATAACAGAAATCACTACTGCTACCACCAATAATAGTAATGATAAAGGAAATAACAAGGGAAGAGAATACAACACCTCAGCACCAGCTGACCGATAACTTGCCCCCCCAGCCCAACCAAGCACCGACCAATACCTCCTCCAACCCTGCAGTCCCACCTAGCCCTTCCGGGTAACTCCCAGTTACCTCCTGGGCATGATGTGCTGTGGTATGGAATACTTCTTTGGTCAGTTTGGGTCAGGTGTCCTGCCTCTGCTTCCTCCCGGCTTCCCCTCCTCCCTGGCAGAGCATGAGGCTCACAAAGTCCTTGGCCAAACCAAAACATCACTTTTATCAGCTTTGTTCCCAGGCCAAAAGTCAAAACACAGCACTGCACCAGCTACCAAGAAAAAGAAAAATGACTGCTACTGCTAAGCCCAGGACACATTGACATGCTTTCACAGCCTTTTTACAGTGGATTGCTAGTAGTGGATGATGCAATTGCTTTTCTTCAGCAGGTCACTCAGGCAGTCAAAAGGAAAGCTGAAGAAGACAGCGACTATTCCCCTGCAGGTAGGATTGTGTTTTTTCTTTATGTTTCCTTATGTTTGTCTAATGTAAATTCAGTGTTTAAAAAAAAACAAAACAATTAAAGTTGCTGTGTTGAAGTCCTAGATATATGAAGTGTCAGTGAAATAAGTTTCAAAATTTCTTTCTGAACAGTAACAGTATTTGCAGTCCAGTCTTAGCTGGTGTGTATTCACAGAATCATAGAAAGAGTTAGCGTTGGAAAGGACCTTAAGATCATTTAGTTCCAATCCCCCTGCCATAGGCAATGACACCTCACACTAAACCATGTCACCCAAGGGGCCAGGCCTTGAACACCGCCAGGGATGGAGCATTCACAACTTCCTTGGGCAAACCATTCCAGTGCCTTATACTATATATGTGTTGTATATGCATGAATTAATCATATACTTTTGTTTGCAAGTAATGTTCTTCTCTTGTAAAATTCCACCACAAGCACCCAGCACATCTCTTCACAGGTCATTGTCTTCTTTGTTAACCCTCTGTCTTAAGACTGGTGTTCTGTGTTGGATGTACAAATGAGATGCAGCCCCTGTTGCACTGAGTTTATCTCCTATGTATATTCCCACTCTTTTATTTCACTCTGGGTTTTCTTGCTTGTATGCTAATGACTTTGGGAAATACCTGTTTAGAATGAAACTACTGTAATAAAGATACTTTTCTGGTTTGTGTTCTTTAAACAACTTGTGACTTGAAAATAAGAAATACCACCTAATGTGGATAGATCTGACCTTATAGATTTGTGACATGGAAAAATCTTAACTGTTGCACCTTTGACTATGATCTAAATGGAGTCACAAAGCTGTCTATCCAGGTTTGACAAATCATATTTTTTCCATTTTTGCCTTTGTATTAACAGGAGAAAAAGGTTTTTCAAAAAAAGTGAAACTAAGCAGTGATAAAATAGGATCTTGGAAGACTCTCTCAGAGAGCAGGAGGCAGTTTCTGGAAACTGTAATGGATTCAATAATACTGTAAGTGCCAGATGTCCTGGTGGTTGGAATAAAGTAAAAATCATAACATTGCTTGAACTGGAAAAGCTTTGCATTTTTGGGCTATGTGGCTGGCTATGTATGTTTTGTCTGGTATAATATAACACTTTATATCTGAATTTAGAAACTGTTAGCTAGAGAAGTTCTACATTCACCTAATCTGATGTACTCCCTGTTCTTACAGGCTTTGCAATGAAAATTCTGCCTTTATTTTCTTTCCAGATCTATTTTGTGTCAACAAAGGGAGAGAAAAGTTGATGTTCAGAAGCATCTCAATTTACTGAAGGAAAGGTAAGAAATTATAATTAAAAAAAAAAAGAGAGAGAGAGAAGGGATTAAGTTTATCCAGTTGTTTTCTACCATGTTTACAGAATTGCTTCTGGGATCATTTAGGAAATTTCCATTTAGGAAATCTTGGAAGGGGGACTTGGTGCAAAATCAACTGGGGAAATATCTCAACAGTATGTTGATTGAAGTAGACAAGCAAATGTAGATGAAAGACCCACTTTAACTACCTCTATACGAGTAACAGAACCGAGAGGTATTCTTAAATGCTCCTTGAATCAGCTTTGTACTCTTTATACAGGGTTTAACTTTGCAGGCAGCTATTTATTTTGTTATAATTTCATGACAGTGGTGAGAGTAGTTATAGCTAAACTTTCTTAAATGCTAATTCATTTTCTGGCTGTCAAAGTTACTTAAAAGCAAATTGAAATTTTGTGTTGGAGCATAACTTGTAGCCTTTTTATGTCATTGTGGGAGTCATTATGTACACTCTCTGAAAACTTTCGTGTGTATATGTATTCTAGGCTCTTTTCAGCATAGGGCCTAATCCTATATGTTGCTTTCTTCATTCTTACAGTGCTTCAGGATTCAAACATGAGGAGCTAGTTTTTCATAAATTATTTTGTTTAAATGTTTGATTTGTAATATTTAATTTCTGAGTTGCCAAACTTCTGCAGTCTTATCTGAGATGTATGGCTGTTTGGTGTACCTAACAGACTTTAAGTCTTCCTTGGAATTGGAAGGGCCTTTGAGAGCAAGCTGAAACTCTTCCTCTGGTGTAAAACCATATAATGTTTCACAAAAGCACTTACAGATTTCACTAAAATGATCTGTTTTGGAAGCAGTTAAAAATGCTGCTTTTAGAACTTAGTTTTACTTTTCAAGCAGAAAGGTTAGAACTGGGAAATTATTAGTTAACGTCAGTTTGCAGTCAGGGAGTGTACAGACCGTTGGGATAGAAACCACACAATGTCAACGTAATAGCAAAGGTTAGAGTGGTCAGATTTCTTGTTCATAGTTTCTCCCTTAGACATCTATTCCACATGATTTTGGAAAACAATTTAAAACAGCTTTTTATCCTGCCTGGATCCTTTCACTTCACTGGCAATAATTGGGCTAAACTGAATTCAGTTTTTGTCAGAGAAGTCATTAGTAATTTTCTTCTTGCTTTGCAAAGAATTCCAAACAAATTATGCTCTTCTTTCTCTGTAATAAAGATTGCTGAGATGTTTCAGAACTTTAAAGGTGCCTCCACAGAAGCTGGGCAGCCTGAAGAATCTCTCAAGCCTTCAGATGGTGGAGAAAGAAATGCTAAAGGCAAATGAAGAGTTTTTGGTACGACTGCAGGTATGAAAAGCAAGGAAGGGAGAAAAATATCTTGCCTGTCTGCTGTTGCTCGTTGTGTTGTAGCTTTTTAGTAGTTGGACTGCTGTCTGTGCCTCTGGTGTTGTGAATTGTCGTCTGCTGTTCATCATTATCACTCACTTTCACTACAAAGCAGTGTATCTTTCTGGATGATTTTTCAGTGACTTAGCTGATGCTGATTATCAGTGTCTCATACACAAAAGATTTACCATTTCTAAGGTAAATTTTATTCTGGTTTTATGTCTGTTTTGTCTTAGGAAGAAATAAATGAAGCTAAGCAATCAGCAGACCGCAGGGAAGAAAATACACAGCAACTGCAGTACAAAATCCAGGTGCTCAAGAGCCACTTAGAGGAAGATGAAAAAAAGGCCAAGAAGGTATTCCCAATAGATGCTGTGGTTTAAGCTGAAATTAAGACAATGCTGTTGAAAGTTTAGTTTTCAGAAATTGGATAATGACAGCCAGTTTATTTTCCTACTCGGGTGCCTGAAGTTTGGTTTTGGTTTAATTATTTTTTTTTAACTTTTTCCCTTTTTAGGTATTCCAGGAAAATGTCAGTGGAGCACTCCATCTTCCAGAACTCCCCAGGCGCAGTTTACAGGCACCCACTTTGCAGGTGAGCATGGAATATATTTTCAGAGACACCTTGGCTAGAGAAGGAAGGCAACAGTGTGCTTTTATCAGTTGACCTCTGCCAAGGGGGCAATTCTGAAAATTCTGAAATATAGGTTGGTTGTTTTTTTTTTTCTTCTTTCTTTTTTTCATTTAGATCTAGATGATTAAGTTTAAAAAAACCCAAACAGAACAAAACCCTAAACTCCCTGCCATTTAAAGGATCACATGTGTTTTCCTAGGAGCCCTGTGGTGTTAGGAAACCTGTAATGATTTATGAAATATCTCTCTGTAACTGATGGAAGGAAGACTGTCTCATTCTGTGCCTTTGAATCGTTTTTATTTTAGCTGTATTCAGGTACAGCTAGGCTGCATGAAAGTGAAATTTCTGTTGGACTTGATGAAAGCTGTTGTTTGTTGTCTTTTATTTTGTTTTTCTTTTAGGAAGAAATTTTGAAGATGGAAAGTCAGAAAGGTCTTTTAAAGGATATGAACGTTATTCAGCAGTCAGCTGACTTGAAGAACTTGTTAACCCTCATTGAAAAGACCTATGAGAAGGTGGACTTCCTCTGAAAGACCTATATATATATAAAATAGAAAGAAAAATAGAACTATCTGGTTTCTATATGGAGCCTCCTTTGAAGAAGATAATCTGGGCCAGCACTCTGTGTTACTGTAGAGCAGCAGGATGCTGATCATGGAAACACTAGTGGCTTTGCAGCTGTAACTGCTAAATTCCTGTTTCTGTGAATATTGATATACAAATATGTAGAGGCATTCTGCAACTGTAGTGATTTAAGTTATCAATCAAGGTTTTGGGGTTGGGTTTCTTTTTTGGTACCTGTGATGACTTCTAATGATACTATGTACTATCTTAGGATTCTTGGTTCGGGTATTTTTATAGGATGAGTAACATATTCCATTATATTTGGACATTTATTATCTCATTTATAGATCAGTGCAGGTAGTATCTGTTACCAAACATTTATTTTGAAGTTAAATCCACTTTAAATTTGAAACACAGGTTTAAAATATGATTATCTGATGCCGAGTTGCAAATCTCCAGTTCAGCTTTCTTACCACTTTTAACTCAAAAAATCTCCATGGTAGGGAATTGAATAATCCTCAAATATAGAGGATTTTTTTACACTTTCATATTCATCACTTAAACCAGGTGGGTGGTATTTTTTTTTTCTTATTGGGTTTTGTTATTTGGGATTTTTGTGTGTGTGTGTGCGTGGTTTTTGTTGTTTTTTTTTTTTCTTTATATGTGTATATATATGTTTTAATGCAGATAGCTGAGAATGCAGGTAGGAATATTATAGTGCAAAGCTCTAATCTTAGAGTTGTGTACTCACCTTATATTTTATTAACTGTCAGGTCATCTTTGGCTTCAGAGGAAGAAAATAAAGTGTCTTTTCCTGTGCACTTTAATCTCTCCCCTATTTTTTCCATGACAGAGCTTCTCCTTTAAAATATTAAGTGCCTTCTCCAGTCAAATTATCTACTGGAAGACATCAGTGCTCTTTATGTTGACTTACCCCTCAAATACTTGGTCTTTTGTTTACAGGCTGCTCATACTCCTAATGAGACTTAAGATAATTATCTCTATCCTCCTATGAGAGATTAAAAGCCTCTCTATAGTTGCTACATGTAGGGTCAGGAAAGCCAGACTAAGTACTTGTTTGGTTTATACTTACTTTGTATTGCGTGAAAAAAAAATAGAAATATTTAGAAATATAGAATTTTGATCAAGGACAAGGGGAATATTTACTGACATAACCACTGCTCATTGTACCTTAACACAGAGTATGAGTTCAGGATTTTACTGCATGCCAGCTATCTTAATTTTTGTTAAGCAAAGATATACTCCTTTGCTTTCAGTAAGGGTGATTTACTTGCAAACAATGTACTATGTGGGTTCTGAACTTCATGAACCACATAGATACCTTTTTTTTCTTTAAAAAAAATAAAAAGGTATGGAGTATTTGTTCTCAGTCGGAAAGTACTTGAGGTGGTAAGAATTGTCCTTAAGTAAAAGTAGGTAAAAGTAGTTGTGTATTCAAACACATACGAAGTTGCCTTTAGGTGTAGTTGCATATATGTTGATGTGCTGCGAAACAGAGGCAATTTTTCTCTTGATAATGGTGAGCAAATGGAGTACAAGATTCAAAAAAATTTGATAAAAAGGGCAACTATAGTAAAAAGAATGAATTTACAAAGTGATTTAAGTTCTCCAGCTATTGCACTTTTAGGTGGAGTTTGGTTTAATACATGTCATTTTGACCTGGGTTAGAGTTTAGACAGAGAGCACCATCACAAATGCTCATTGACTGCATGGTGGGAGAGTAGGAAGGAAAATAAGGTTTTGCATGTCACAGGGGGACACTTCCTATCTGTGCTCAGCAGACGTCCAGTGATGTGTAAAGCTTTGGTTTGGGGAAAATTCTTTCTGCAATTTCTATTCCAGAAACTTCATATTTTTCACAGTCAATAGAAGAATTAGGACAAGCAATAAATGCAAATAAGGCGACCATCATCATGCTCAGTGAGGGAAGGGACCCTTGTGCACTCCATAGTAGACAGTGATGTTCACTGCACCAGTACTCTGCTGATGAGCCCTGATGTCTCTGGATGGCACCCTAAGAATGCTGGGCCTTAGCCAAGAGTAGTACCACTCAACTCCCCTGCTGCCTATGGGGAGACAACAGAGCCAGAGGCTTGAAGCAGCATCAACCTAGGGCTATTTTGGCCCTCGGGCAATTCTAACTTACTGTTGTCAGGCAGTGGGAGCCCTCTGACAGCTGGAATTTGCAGATAGTGTTTATGCAATGTTTAATAGCAAGTCAGAAAGTTCATTACAAATGTGCCATCTATTTGCCATGCGGGCATGCTTTATTTATTGAGATAAATGTGTTTTGTTTGAGGTTAATAGGAACAAGAAATGCAAACATCTGGTTTGCTTTGAGTACTTTGATGATATGAGAAAGAAAAACTTTAGGAAATTGCATATGATCACCAACTTCTAATAACTTTTCTACAGTGATTCCCTCTTTCAGATCTTTCCATCAGCGAAACTCCATCTATTTTCATAAATGTTTTTAACACTTAAAATTCAGGGCCAGAGAATAAAGAAAATGTTTTTATTCCTGGTAAAGCTAATTAAGAAAATCTCATGGTGTTTTCCTTTCCATCAAACAACTTTGTAAATCCAGAAACTAAAATAAACAGATCTAGATAAGAAGTTTGCTGCTCATTCTAAAAATTAGAGTAGATGAATTCAAAAGGAGGACAAATTTGGCCCTGAAAATAAAAATGCTGCAACCACTGATGTAATTTTTGAATTCTCATATTATCTTCACTTTTGAGTCTTTAATCATTAGTCTCTATCTAACAGTCTACATTTGAACACTCATAGATGTTTGAAGTGTCTGCATTATCTGAGACAAACATGCGGCTTATACGGCACAGGACCTGTCCCCCCAGCCTGGTATCTGGAAGCGAAACGAAAGATCTAAGGGTATCTAAAATGGTGCTAGAGGCTTGAGGTTAAAGCTTTGAATTGTGCTCTGTATATCAACTTTAAAGTGGATTGAATTTCTTAATAATTAATTATTTACAGCTGAATGACCGGAATCTGGTTTGGGTAAGGAGATGAAGGCATGTAGGAAGTGTTGATATGAACAGAGTCCACCAACACATCCCCCCATACTAAGGAAATTGGGGCAAATGAAAGCGAATGTTCAGAGTGTCTGATTCAAGTAGAAGGAATGAGTGACTTGCTTCAATGACTCAGCAGAAACTGGGCACTATTGTTCTTCTAGTGCTAAGAAAAATAGCCAGTCTAAGACAAGCTGAGGTTTAAGGCATACCACGGAAGGTTAACCCTGACTACTGCCAATAAGCACACATTACAAAGTAAAAACTGAACTAAGAATGTGAAAACTATTCTTTAGCTCAGATTAGGTGATCTACTAAATTAGCTATCTAACGAGTCATGTATCAGGCCAAACTTCTGTTCCATTTCTTACCTCCCCTAATAAATAAAAAACATTTGTTTTAGAACTACTGGAAATCCTCATAAGGATGTGAAATTTGAAGTTATTTTGGTGAAAAAATTAAGAAGGCAGATGTCATGAAAAAGTAGCTTAAATGTTTTTGAAGCAAGTTAGTGCTGCTTAGAGCTCTAGGAAATTGTCAGAGCACACATTTTGTAGGGTTTGGGGATGACATTAAATGAAACAACAGGGCTGAGGTCCTGGTCTGAGACAGAAACTCCAGGGGGAGGGTGGAAGGTGAACCTCTGCAGGAGACTTAGAGAAAAGGAAGAACTCTATTTTGGCAAGAAATGCAGAATGGACATAAAGAGAGTCAGTAGAAGCTGATTCTGCAATATTTGGGAGAATAAAAACCTTGCAGCAGCTCTTATTGTCAGGAAGATCAGTGGGAATCCAGAACATTTGTAATGTCACATCCTAGCTATGAATAAAGAACACAGTAGCTCTTAAAAGTCTACAGGAATCAGGGAGAAGACACTTGGTCTTCAGAGGTATGATAACAAAATCACCTTGTGATTTGTTTCTTTTCCTTTGTCTAAATGCTATATCTGGGGAAAAATATATGTAAATCCATTCTGAAATCCTGAATTCCAGTTTTCAGCAAAATTTTCGTTTTTCTTAATTTTCATACTTTGTTCAATTTTTGGATCACAGCTCAACTTTGGCTGGTTTAGTCTAGAATTTGGCTCTATCTAATCACAGGTAACTTTTTACATTAAAATTCGTTGGAAAAGACCTTGGAGACTCACAAATGCTGGCTAGAGTGGGACTGAGGAGGAAGGATATTCTATGAATGCTGTAACTATTAATTTTTCGCAGTCCTGGTAAAATTCAGCAACTCATAAATGGCCTTAATCAGAATGTGATGATTCAAGGCCAGAACTAACAAAAACCTGACCTAATATTTGTTATTTGCTCCCTTGTATGACAGAAAGTGGAAAATGAAAAGGTATTGCATGGCTGTGCTATGAAATAAGCCCTCAAGGGAATGCCCAAACCTGGCACATCCTTGGATGTCAGCTAGGACATCTAGAGTTAAATCTGAATTAAATGCTGGGAATTGGAAGTATCATAAGCCCTTCCATGAAAAAAAAAAAAAAAAGCCCCAAATTACTGTATGTTTCGTGATGAGTATGACAAAAAAACCCTTATTCAGGATATCTGATATTCAGCTCTACTGGTTTGTTACATGTGTTTGTTACATGTGTTTTGTTCTCTAAAGAAATATAGCCATAATTATAAGGACTGAAAGGAAATTGTAAATATTTTCATATAGCTATAAAAGTTGGAATAAATGAGAAAAGATTTGGTTACCTCCTGCTATTTAACTAGGAAAACTTCTTTGATCATTTTTGTCCAGGGTTTTGAGATGTTCTACAAAAGTGACTTGTATATAATCATGGAATTCATCTCTGTTTTGGAGAAGAGTCTTGTTAGCCCTTAGGAGAAATCCAAGGTATGGGAAGATGTGCATCTACAAAAGTGAAAGATGTTAGGTGGAATTTACTGGCCAGAGATCTGAAAATACTACAGAAACAAATTAATAATAATTTTGTGCCTGTTTTGCAAATACAAAGACTTAATATTTTGTTCTTTAGAACATGCAAAAGTGACTGGATGAATTCTTGGTAGCAAATCGACCAAAGACCACTGAATCCATGGAAAACTTGCAGCCCCAGATTACTGTTTTGCAGATATAGAGTAGATGTCAAGACTCAAACACTTGCAACTTGCCACTAAGGAGATGGAAATGTTTTCTAGTAACTTTTTATTGTTTTAGCCAGCTCTTCTGCTAACTTTTTTTTCTGTTTCAAAACTTACAGGAACAGAAAAGAATCTGGTGTGTGGCAGCATTTACATGCAAGTATCAGAAAGTATTTATTACTCATTGAGGTATTTCAGTGTAGCAAAAGCATGCTAAAATTGATTTTGTATCCAGGCTCCTTGTACAGGTGTACCACATACTCTATAGCTTCTTCCTGCCCTGTGATCTGAGAATACTTTATTGCCTGGTCATTTTATGCATGTGAGCCATATTTTTGGGGAATGCTGAGCATGCTATTTATGCACTAGGCAGTCTGATTTTTTCAGTCCAGATTTACCAATTTTCAAACTATAGCTTAAGTATGCCTCCAACAAAAGAAGGATATGGAGCTATTGGAGCGAGTCCAGAGGCCACGAAGGTGGTTTGAGGGCTGGAGCATATTTGCTATGGAGACAGGCTGAGAGAGCTGGGTTTGTTCAGCCTGGCAAAAAGAAAGCTCCAGGAACACATTAGAGCAGCTTTCAGTGCCTAAAGGGACGACAAGAAAGCTGGAGAGGGTTTTTTTTACAAGGTCATGGAGTGATAGGACAGGGGATAATGGCTTTAAAAGGAAAAAGGTAGATTAAATTAGGTTTTAGGAATTAATTCTTTACTATGAGGGTGGTGAGGCCCTGGCACAGGTTGCCCAAAGAAGCTGTGACTGCCCCATCCCTGGCAGTGTTCAGTGTCAGGTTGGACAGGGCTTTGAGAAGCCTAGTCTAGTGGAAGGTGGAAGCAGCACTGAAATTAGATGGTCTTTAAGGCCCCTTCCAACCCAAACCATTCTATGATTCTGAGATTCTACACATAGAGTAATACGAGCTACACGTTTAAGAAATGTCAGTAATGCTGGTCTGGAGTTTTACCCTTGAAGAATTTCTGCTAGGCATTTCCACCACTGTGTGCACTTACTTTACCATTTGCTGGTTACTGTTTAATGGGTTATGTCTAAATTAGTCCTGTGCATTGGCAGAGACGTCTGTGGGCATAAGTCCAGTTAGAAACAGCAACTCAAACACTGCCTTGAACTTTGAGACTGGGAGGAAGTGGGAGAAGAAGGATGATAGTTGCTCAGGCTTTCCCTTTTCTCTTTATGGAAGATGTTGGAGATGCCAGGTCCTGAGTTCAATGGATCTCACTAACATGCATACAATTCTGAACTAAATTAGTTCTTAGTTCCAAATACAGGATTTCCTCTGGTACTCTTGTACATGTTTGTATTGTAGATCTGAATCAGGACAACATCTATGATTTTCTTTTCAGTAGGTTGTACTAGTATTTGTATGTATCTCTCTGTATGTTTGGATGAATGTGTAAATAACCAAGGTCTGCCTTGGAGGTAAGGGAATAGAAAGTATAGTTGTGTGAATATGACCTGTGCAGTATAAGAGACCAATCCCTGGCTTGTTTGCTTGATAAGAATTTTCATAGGTGTAGGGACACATATATCAGTGGACTGTTCCTGTATTTTGTACTAAGCTTATGCATTTTTTGTTTCAGAGTCAGAAATGAATCTGATAAAAGCTCTGTGAAGGTAGTATAGTGTAACATTGTAGAGCTTTGCTTGGATGGAAAAATTGAGAAGAGGTCCAGGTCTGAGATGGAAACTCCTAAGGGAGAGTGAGAGGTGAGCTCTGGAAGAGCCTCACCGTATATACTTTGTTAAGAGCTTGATCCCAGTGAGAGAAAAAGAAGACAGTATGTCCCCAAGGAATAACAGACAAATAACAATTGATTAACTGATCATTTAATTCATGCATCTAGTCAGCAACAGATGGCTTTAAAATAAATTTTCCTTTCAGGAATGAAGTACAAAAAATATTATTCTGAAAGAGGTAGTACTGCATATCTGTGAGACAGTCTTCAAAGTTTTGATCCCCCACCGGTGTTTTCAAAAAGGGCTAGGTGTCAATAAGCTTGACATTTGGTTATTTTAAATAAGAAATAATTGCTAAAAAGCTGAGATAATAATAAAACATTTTATTTAAATCCAACTTATTTGTTTTATTTAATTAAAATTTAATCCATCTGTACTTAATATCTTGTAAAATTAAAAAAAAAAATTACATTAGGAACATTGAAGTTTTCACTTAGAAAACCACCAATCGCAGTGGCGTCAGTCAGTTTAACTCTTACAAAGAAAGGTATCTCTTTTCTGGTTAGGACTGGAAACAGAAAATATGTTTTAAAGTTTGGCTGACCTAACCTCCAAAATGCTACTAATTTGAGAAGTAGGAACAATCTTCTAAGGTTTCTCCTGAGAATGTCAGAAATCTAAGAAAGAGCTTTAGGAATCCTGATGGTAGAATTTAATTTTAAGTTGAAAGTTTCACACAGTTGCTGCCATTTAACTATTATTTTTCCAGGTACTTTTGTGCACAGCGTAATAAATGAATGAATTTTTACTCACTTTAGAAAAACCCAACAACTTATATCAGGGAGTTTGAACTAGATGACATAAAAGTCCTTTCCAACCCTAACTATTCTATGATTGTATGATTCTATGTAAGCTTTTTTATGTAAAAATAAGTCAAACTGAGACCAAAGATAAAAAGAGTGTTATTGGGAGAGAGTAAAACATTGTCAATGTTTATCAGAACAAAAAGAAATGCTAGTCATCGTGAACCTCAAATTTAGAGTAGTTGTATTTTAACCTCTGGTTTAAGCCCCAACCTCAAAGCTTATCCTCCACCTTGTGTCTAGTTTAACTCCTTGCTTTCCTTTTCTGCCAGTGTGTGGCTCCCTCATTGATGAGCAAAATAGTTCTTAGCAAAACATTTTAAGCTGTAAGGCTGGACACCTCTCCATAATGTCCAGTAACATATTACACAGAAGCTATGTATAAAAGAAGCTCTATGGACTCAGGGCATTCAAAGCTTTGATTAATTTAGAAATAACCAACCAAAGAAAATACCCTTAGACAGAGAACCAAATGCCACTGAAATCTGAAATATGGAGGTGAGAAATTAGGGTAAATAACCTTAGAAGAAAAAAGGCACGCAATTTGAGGACACAGTCATATCAAAAAGAAAGTAATGTTTAAAGCCAACAATTCTGTATTTAATTTCCTGATGACACATCTTTGTACACTGTTGCATAGACAGAGTCCGTTCAGAGCGAAAGATAGTCTGAAACAAGATATCCAAACTTTTCATGAAGGGTGGTCAAACTGTAAGGCCTGGATTCATCTGTCCTTAGCTGAGGCACTTTTCTAAGACGTCTAGAAAATGAATGAATTTTGGTTTGTGTGTGATCAGCATCTCTCCATCATAGCAGAGTAGAGACCACAGGAGGAGAGCAAACACACATGGATCACAGAATCATAGAATTTCTAAAGTGTTTAAAAGAAAAATGCATCAACAGAAATGAAAATATCTGTTATGAGAGGAGCTTCTTTCCCTCTTAAATCTTCTAAGTAAGATTTGAAATAAGTTGGTAACATAAAACAGTCTTGAAAGTTCATCCACTGTAGCTTGTCCTTCTCGATCAACAGTGTCTGTTTCTGATTAATGCCTAGAGGCACTGTGATCCTTCTATTAGATTTTCATCTCCATCCATTGCCTCCCAATGGATTCCTATGGGTAGGTAGGCATAGACGTGTAGCTCTGCTCCCAGCTGCTGGCAACTCTGAGCTCCTTCAGATACCGCAGTTTTTGTCTCTCTTAGCTGAGCAGCCATTATCATCACTCCTCAGGTGGAGTTAATTTATCTTAATTTAGCTTCACTTTTCTTCTTTCTGCTTTTTCTTGTTTTAGGAGGCAGTGACTTCAAAAGTAGTGACTCACCACACAAGTTCTCTACCTAGTCTTCTGTAGGTTGAATACAGTTGCTTTCTGATCAGTTCCTAAGAACTCATGCTTTTTCTTGGAGCTAGCATTTAGTTCAGCTTGTATCTTTTGACATTAACAGTACTACTATCCACTTATTAATGGACAAAATAAGAAGTATTATGTTGTTACTTTTTCTCTCGTAGCACTGCTTAATTCCCCTATTGTGTCTTGAAAGAATCTAAATAAATATACACCAAGATTCAATTTTTTTCACCATTTCACTTTCTTCTCTCTTTCAATAAACATAATAACAAAGAATTTTGATAATAATATTGCTACTTAGTATACCTTAGTAATCACTACCTTCTGTGCTTTGACATGGACATTATTTCAACCTTTCTGTTCTTGTCATAACCAATCTTTGAAATACAGAGCATTTTCTCCCCCATTCAAAACCAGGACAACGCACTTTCTGAAAAGATTAATCCGGGATGCTCTGGTGAAAAGCTTGTTGGATTCCAAATAAGCAATATCAATCTGTTTCTTCTTGATTGCCCCTATGCAGTACCTACACAGTCACAGATGTGGCTGTAACTCAGAAATACTGCAGTTACGTATGGTATCCTGTGGTAGGCTTGAAACACAAAAGTTGTTTTGATGGTTATATTGATTCAGTGGTGACAAAAGGTAAAATATAGGTAATTTTGTAGAGCAGTTTGTGATGGGTTTTTCTGATGAACAAATATATTGGAAAGATCTCATTAATTCACCTGACTTTGGTATAATAACTATGTATTCTGCAATCAAGCTTGTTTTATATTTAAAAATTATAGCTACCTACAGCTCCTTGTTGAAAACCTAGTGTGGTTAGGACAATACTCGTAAGTTGGTTTTTAGCATTAGAAACTTGAAAGAGCATCATTAAGGCAAATATTACAGATAATACTTTTTCTACATGGTGGCTTCAAATCTGCTGTGCTCATCATAGTTGTTGGATTGAATTTCATGTGGTTTCTTCTCTTCTGGAACCTGCCATGGAAATCAGAGAAGAGTTCAGTTGATGAGATACAGACTTTTGCCACATAAGGAGACCAAAGTGCACCAAGAATATTGCTATATTTGTATATACTGTGTTTCTGTTTATTAACATTGATGCAGCCTGACAAGAACCACCAGTTCTGAATTCTGAGGGGTGAAATAAGGATTTTCTTAATAGCAGAATTCCTTAACACTGATGGTAGCTGTGAGAGCTCAAAATTAATATCTGCAATTTTCAAAGAGCTCTAGAGGAATAAGGTGACCATCTCTAATGAAATGTAAAACAAAGTTGTATGCTAACTATCAATGTCTCTTTCCTTTACCTGATAAATCTCACTTAGAATATTTCTGAGCTCATTTAAGAACTTGAATATTCCTGACATTTTTATTAATTACATATGAAAGCCTATTTCAGGTTTTGCCAAAAACCAGTGCTTTGACTTTCCCAAAGTCAAATGGAGAATAACTTGCAGAGCTGTCATTAACAATCATTTTTTTTCTGATTGTCGTTGCTACAGCTGACCTTTTGGCTCACAACTTCCCCTTAGACTGCAATCTCTCTCTGACCAAAAGCCAGATTGAGTGGTTGGTTCATAGTGGAGTTTAAGTAATGAAAAAAACTTTATAAAATATAGCTCTGGTTCTCAATATATAAATTAAAGGGAATGTATATCACGTATTTCTTCCTGAGTTTGTCCTGGTATAAAGGATAAAATTCAGATTTCCCAAATTAAGAACCTGTCATTGGTCTATAATGAAGGGAGATGCAGAAAGCCTGCAAATGGTACAGGGAATTTCTTAAGTTAGCCAAGAGGAAATATATGTCTGAGTTTCTGCTCTGAACTTGATTGTCATCCAAGTCAGAGATGTATGTGGGACTCAACTGATCAAATCTAGGTCTGTACAGTATAGAGCTCTACATCTGAGGTAGGCAATGAAAGGTCTTTCATTATCAGTGGGGATTATAGATATTTTCAGGGTTTTAATTCATGTAGCATAACACAGATCTGGAAAGATTCAGATGAACTGCAATTGTAGAGCATAAAGGGAGCCTAACAGGGCTATTTCAGATGTACTTGTTTCTCAGCCCATTGCTTGTCTTCATGCATAACAAAATAGTGGCAGGAGGCTGTCTTCTTCTGATAACCTCAGTGGTCAGATTGTTCAACCAGGAAGCATAAGAGCTTCTCCTTAGCTTAAGAGGAACTCACCCTACAAATACTGAAGAAGAGCTCTAAATTTCACAGAATCACAGAATCATTAGGGTTGGAAGAGACCTCTGGAAATCATCTAGTCCAACCCCCTGCCAAGGCAGGGACACCCAGAGCATGTTTCATTTAGTATAAATTCTAGATCATGCTAGAAAAGCAGCACCATTTACCCCAAAATGCAATAGTGCATCTAAACTGCAATATGGGAGATAATGCCGGTCACAGCAAGAGCTGAAAAGAGATGACGAGCTCCACTGAGATCTCAATTTTTTCGATCTATTTCTGCTTCGTATTCAAGGTTAGTCCAGCGTAATGGCATGACAAGCTTTCAAGTCCAAAAAAGACCCTAAAGGTACTCTTGATAATTTCACAGCCTCAGCTAGAGAAGCATTTTTGAATGTTGACTTATATGTGCAAACCACAAACCCTACAAATGTAGGACTGCAGTGTGCTGTGTGTATTCCAACGTAATGAAAATAAATAAAGGTTGTATCTTACCTCCCAGAAAACAGAGTCATCAAAGCAGTTCTGGTCAGACACTTGTCCTAAGAAAGGCAGCTTTAGAATTCCACCTGCAGGAAAAACATCATCAGAGGTTAAAAAAAAAGGCAGCTTTAGAATTCCACCTGCAGGAAAAACATCATCAGAGGTTAAAAAAAAAGGACAAAATGCCCAAATAAACGTTTCTCAGATGTGCCATGGGGACTCATTTTCTAGTCTACAGAAATTCCCAACCACCTGATCACTCATTAGGAGAACTGATGCAGTTTTCTTCAAGTCAATATCAGTAAGATCTTGTTTTTAGTTGCTCAGACCTTTCCCAGATTTCAGACTCGAATTTTCCGTTTCAGCATGGATTTTTGTTTTAAAATATCCGCAGTCACATAGAAATATGTGGCACTTAAATGAATATGCCTTCATCTCAAACAAGTTTCTGTTCAGAATTTTAAGAATTTAATCCGTGACGTCTTACTATTCCTATGTATAGAACGCAATTTCTTTGGAGTATGTATTCAGCAAGATATCTAGACTTCATTTGAAGACAAAATTATTGGAAAACTGTTTTTCCATATTTAAGTTTCTGCCAGTTTGCCATCATGCATTATTTCTATTTTTCTATTTTGTATTATTTATATGAAATTGTTGATATATCGAATTCTCCATGGACAAAACTCTAAATTCACACATTTCAGTTGCTACCTATATCATACTGACCTGTCAATGCTCCACCCACTAGTGCAATTCCAATTGTGCTACCCAGGGCAGCAGCCTGCATGCCAGGAGTTAAGTGGATATTTCGCCTGAAAAGGGCAGAAAACCAAACCATTGATAATCAAAAAGTTATTGCATTTTGAGACCGGTAGTCGGTCTTTCTTACAACATTTTACTTGCTGTCTGCTGCACAAGGTGGGTCATAGGAAAATATCAGCCATTGTGTACAAGACAGAAATCATGATTTTATTTTGGTTATATTTTAAGACTACAGATGAAAACAAGGTTTTTGGAAAGGTTATTAGTATCTTCAATGCCTTTAGAGAATGTTCTCTTTTGTCAAAAGGCCAGTATTCTATCTTTCTGGAGTCTTTTGAGATAGTTGAAATAGCCCGTTTTGCTAATTTCTTGGAAATCTTTCAGTTACCAGCAGTGTAATTGTAGAATCATGCTAAAAATCCACCTACATTTGAATGGTTCTGTATGTTGGTTTTTATGATGTGTTAGATTTATTAATTTTTACTTGAACTTTTAATTTGGAAGAAGCTTGTCATATAAACAGTGTGCTAAGGGGAGGATATCAAGAACAGTCCTGTTTAAATAGGAACACAATGTCTGACATCAAACCAAAGATGCAATTTCTGCAAAAAAAAATCATAATTAGATTCAAGGAGGGTGGAAAATTAGGATAAGCCTTTAAAAATCAATAGACTCCTTTCTCTCTTCTCTCTGTAACTCACCTAGTTTCCTCATTTATTGCAGTTACTACGATGCCAGCAATACCTCCCAGTATTCCAGGTAACCCATGTAAATTATGAACTCCACAAGTGTCATGAATGTTCAACTTGGATGCCAACAGAGGCTGAAACGAGGAGGAAGATGAAGTTTATAGTGAGTTTATAGTCTTCCATTATCTCTAGAATGATATGCAAAAGAATGTAGTGCAGAAATATATGAAACAATTAATTTAGGTACACAAAGTTTATATATAAGCCAAGTTTTCTTTCCCTTCATTGTGAAATTGTTTATATGTAGACAAACCCAAGTCTCTAGGTACAAGGGTACAAATTTCCAAGCTACCATCGTAAATATGGTACAAAACACAAGACAGTCTACTTAACCTTTTCAGCCACTGCAATGAAAGTTGAAAGAGGTGGTTAAGTAGCCACTTAACTTGTTCTGAGTCTGCTTGCCAGCTAATTTCTTCCAGAATGTTTCTCCATCAGGAAATTCCAGTTTAATACATTTTAGTCCGAATATTTTTTTTCTACACTTTGCACATGAAATAATTCAATTGTCAATTCTTAGGTACTTATGATTACAGATCTATTTAGATATTTTGAAAGACTGAATAGTCCTATTTCACTGATGCATGGACTTGGAGGAAGATTTCTGGCAGCTCCTTGAACAGAGTGTCCTGGGTTTAGCAGTAGCAGTCATTTTTCTCTTTCTTGGTAGCTGGTGCAGTGCTGTGTTTTGACTTTCAGCTGGGAACAGAGCTGAAAACAATGATGTTTTGGTTTGGCCAAGGACTTTGTGGGACTCATGCTCTGCCAGGGAGGAGGGAAGCCGGGAGGAAGCAGAGACAGGACACCTGACCCAAACTGACCAAAGAGGTATTCCATACCACAGCACGTCATGCCCAGGATGTAACTGGGAGAGGGACCCAGAAGGGCTAAGGGGACTGCAGGGTTGGAGGAGGTATCGGTCGGTGCTTGGTCAGCCGAGGTATCGGTCGCCTGGTGATGAGGTGTTGTATTCTCTTCCCTTGTTATTTCCTTTATCATTACAATTATTGGTGGTAGCAGTAGTGGTTTGTGTTATACCTTAGTTACTAAACTGTTCTTAACTCAACCTGTGGGAGTTGCATTCTTTTGATTCTCCTCTCCGTCCCCCAGGAGAATAGGGGGAGGACAAGAAGGGGGGAGAGTGAGTGGACAAGCTGTCTGGCTGGGGTTACGCCACGACACAGAGATACCAATTTTAATGAACTCTAATGTCTTTGTGATCCTTTTCTGCTTTTAGGTGATAGACTAAAGTTAGCTCATAAGCATATATTTAAATCCCACTGATTTACAGATTGCTGTTATTTAGAGTTTGCTTTCTATACTGGTGATACCAGCCAGGTTCTAAACTCCCTTTCTAGTAAACCAAAGGAGCTCCAGCAAAGCCAAATAAAAAATAAGTACATGAGAGCAGAGCTGTATCCTCACTACTTACAGTCAGGAAGTGGAACCCAAGCACAGAGATGATTCCAGCAATGCTCCCAATGCACATGGCAACAAAAGGGTTGATTGACAAGTCAGCACAGGTACCCACTGCTACTCCTCCTGCCAGGGTGGCATTTTGGATGAGAACCTGCAAAGGGTATATAGAGACAGAGATATATGTGGAACAGAGGCTTGTTTTAGAGATGAGTGACTGGAGGCTTTTTTGCATAAGGAAGTTTTCCTTTTCTTCAGGTGAGATTTTTTTTCAATGAAGAATGAACAGGAATTTAAAACAGGATTCTCTGTTGCATGATCAGGGTGTTGGTTCAGTGCTGCTCTCAGCCAGTTTAACTGCGACCAGTTTAATGAAGACCAATTTTTGCAAAGTCACCAAAACTCATCTGACCTCTCAAAAAGCCAAGCTGAGCCAGAGAGAACTGCTCTTACAACAGCAGCAGATTCTGCAAGCTCATTGAACCATGCCTGCTCACACTGAGCTTAGACATACACTTCTTCCAGCAACTTCTGGAAGTTGCACTTCCATCAACTGCTGGAATGAAGTGCGTGAAAACATAGGGGCTGAATTTTACGATAAGGAGATGAAGGTTGACAGTCTGGCAGCCTCAGCATAGTTTGGTTTGCCTTGTGCAGCTGCACTGTGAGATTGCCACAGAACAGATCGTTGCTTTAAGAGACCTATTCTGGCTACAGCAATACAGTACCTCACACAGGATCTTTAGAATAAGACCCGAAAGTCCACCTGAATGTTAGACTAGTGTCCCTGTGGTCCAGCAGGTTCCATGGACAAGAGAGAACAAGGGAGCAAGACCATCACTGTAATGTCTAAGAGCTTTTCACTCTCCAGATGCAGTGATCACACTGAAGAATCACCACATACCTGAAGTAGGGTGGGTTGCCACAGGGCCCAGTCTTACATTATAGTTTTTAGAAATATAATAGCTAATTTTGCCCACAGCATGAGCAAAAGCTCCAGATAGTTCATGGATATTGTAAATCTGCCTAATGATTCTTATTTTAGGGGGGTGTTTTGATTTATCAGAAGTTGTAATGTGATTCTTACCATACTGAATTTTCCTCTTTGATCCAGCAGGCTGGAGAGGGCGAATGTTACAACAGTACACGCGGCCAAGGAATAGTAGGTGTTGACAATTGCTTTAATATAGAAAATGTTTTCAGATGCAGTGGCAGAGTTAAAACTGGGCCAAAAAAGCCAAAGGAACAAGGTACCTGGATGAATAGAAGTCAAAATGAAATAGTCTGTTCAGTCACAAGGGGTATTTCAGTGTGAAAGATCCAAAAGAACAGAACTAGCTGCAAGAAATGAGGAAGATAATCAATAAGAAATATGAAGTTGCCAAAATGCTGGAAGAATAATAGATTATGCAGAAGCTTTTGACATTGGCATTTGTGGTTTGGACACGTGGTATTAACCAAATGCTACTGGAAGACTTTGACAAGTTGTGATTCTCTTGTCATGCTCCATTCACTTTAGAAAGCTCACCACCACTGTGAAAACCATACCAGCATAGGATACATTAACAAGACAGTTCACATGCAAATACTTTATCCTCTATTGATATAATTGATAGTTTTAGCTGGTAAATTGATCTATGAAGAGATCTCACAGGCAAATAGGTGTAGAGTAGGTCTCACAGACAGATAACGTTCTTTAGTGAGACAGGCACATTTCAATAACTTTAATTATGGCCAGCTTCTATGAAATAGTGCTTATAAAAGAAGATTTAACAAAACAGGAGTCACCACAAATGCACAGTAAAAATGCATCCTTAATTTGATTTTTCCTACAGGAAAAACTCTAAAATTATGTGTCACTGAAAACATTGTGCATGCATGAGACAAAAAAAAAGGTATGCATCTAGGAGTGTACTTAAGAAAATAGATGCAGTGTAATAATAAGCAATCATTAAAATGTAGAAATGAAGGAGGGATGAAGAACTGATCAGAATTCACTATTATATCACTTACCAATCATGGCAGATATGTCCGACTGATAGGTAGATCCTTCATTTTCATGATTTTTTTTCAAACCAGGACGACACAAAACCAGGGTTACGGCTAAACCAAAATAAGCTCCAAAAGCATGGATGGTCATTGAGGCTCCAACATCTGTAGCCTGCATTAAGGACCCAAAATAATGCCACAGATTTTATACAGCATAAAGATGAGGATTTAATGAAGGAGAAGTCAGGATGACCTTAATAGTTTATTTTCTATGATAGAAACTAAAACCTAGAGTATGGAAACTGGAAGTATTGCAAAGTGAAAACATTTTTTACAAACAGAAAATAATTATTTCTAAAAAAATTGTACCTGAAATATTTCTGTAACTAGGTGTTCGTTGCATGCAAAGATTGTAATCTCCAGAATTGTCAATATCAGCATCTGAAGAGGACTTGTTTTCCCCAGGACTGCTCCAAATGAAATCAGAGCTGTTGCTGTACTGAAGTCTGAATTTATCATGCTGAAGTTAATAGAAAACAAAGCAAAACAAAAAACCAAATCAGTTTAAAGAGACCTGAAAGAAGGCTCTAATATCAAACGTGCCGTATCATTAAAATGATAGAATTTTACATCTTCAGATATACAATTTTTTAGATCATCTTTGGGAACAAAAATTAAGCCAAACCTTTCCAGATGGGTTTTGTAGAGATCTTTTCAGCTACTGAGGAAAAAGTTTGGGGATGTTATCTCCTGTTTATACTATATATGCACTTAGCTGGTTGAAATTACAGTGAAAAGTCAGATAAGATATGTATTTCAGATATGCAGAAATATTTTCAGCTCTGACTGTCACTGGAACTCCAAAGAGGATAGGGAACTTACAGCTTTGGTCAGATGGTCTATCTAATTTCAAAAGCCTTGCATGACTTTCTATCACTGTGCATCATGTTTGCATTAGCTGTCGGGAAGGACTGGTGTTACCAGATCATGGGGAATGGCAAAGATAAAGCCAGAAACTGGTGAAAACCTTGCAACATGGAAGGTCATTAATTTATGGATCCCTCTACAAATGCATATCTGTAAGCATTAAGGAATTATTTGTTTCCACTTGTCCACCAGTAATGTTTGGATGTTGTTCCTTTCAAAATTATCTACGAGTTGTCTCAGAAACAAAGAACTGCAGATGTGGAAAACAGCTTGGCAGAAGCAGGACAAATGAATGGGAGGGCTGAAAGTGTCTAGGGACATCATTGCTCATGAGGTCTCTTATTCTATGACTGGGGTCCAAAACCTACTGCAGTATGATACTCATGCAAATCATTCCTTGAGAAGTAGGAGAAAATCTTATAGTGGATAGATGTACTATTCCAACCATGTTCCAGACAGTCTTCCATGTGTTGTGGAAGGGCAGATCCTTTCATGCCTGCTGGCTGCAGGAGATGCTGTGTTACTGCAGGAATTCTTCCAGCTTCCACAGCTCCAAAGATTCAGAGTAGTCTCTATATGTAATGTAGCACCTCAAATTTCATCCCACACTTTGGTTCCCTTGGCCTGGTGTACCACGTGTTGCCCCTTTAGAGGTGAAGGTCAGATGAATGTCAAAAGGTGGACAGTAAGGCTCAAACAAATTTCAGTGAACGTATTGATCCCATAGGTATTGTAGTTTAGGGCTTCTCCTAAATAGAATAGAAATGTCAGTTTTGTTAAATTCACATGTACCTGTTGCTGTCAACACGAATTTTCCCTTCTCGCATGTGCCAAAATCCTTGCATCAGGGTTCCCCACTGGAGACCAAAGGCAGCAAGGAGCATGCTGATACCAACACTGCTGAATCCATATTTCTTCAGAAAGGTCATCAGGAAACCAAACCCAATAAATATCATCACATGGACATCCTGAAAGACTGAATGGAAAACATGACTGTGTAGTAACTATGAAGAGTGAAGGGAGACAAGCTAGGGACAAACGAGGATTTAATAGAAAATAAAAGAGTTCCAACTCATGTCATCAGTGTGATCTGTACTTTCTTTCTTTATAACCAGTCTACTAGTTGAAGATTGAGTGTGTGGAAAATGCAAGACCCAGTTACAGATTTTATTCCTTGCTATATCATTGTGGATAGAACACTAGGTCTCTATACTAGAAAACTTGGTATATTTGGAGTTGTTCTCTGTGTATGAAGCTACCTGGAATATCACAGCTTCATGTCCTTACAGAGAAGTTCTCTTCCCTCTCAAACAAAGCTTGTCACATTCAACATGTTCTGGCTGATTCCAAAATTGACATGAGATTTGTTTGGTAGAGTGCTAGTTGACTCAGTGGAAGATAGGTTTCTGATCTCTAAAAATTACTGTCCAAGAGACTGATTTCTTTCCCTGTGTAAAAGAAAAAGGCATTTGAGATAATGTCTAAACTAGCAAATCAATATTGCTAATCAGCATATACTTAGCCCTCCTTCAAATATGATTTTTCCTTCCAAATTTGAATTTCATCCAGGTAGTTGTTTTTACATTATTTTTAAAGCTTTTTATTTTTTAATTTACTTTATTAGGCTTTTAAATACAAACTGAGTTTATCACCACGAGTATTTTATATTTTAAAATACGTTACTCTGAACTATTTTGTGTGATTTAATGGACTGTACCGAACATGCTTGAGTTTTGTAATTGAATCTTTCTCTGATGTTATTGTTAGTAAGAACCTTATTATACAGAAACTGTTTCATTTTATTTCTATTTCATCACCTCTTACATGGAAATACACAGGAAAACTTGGGACATTGGCTTCGTTAGTATAATATTTGGCTTGAAGTTACATTTCCTAGTCACTCAGTTTTGCTATATGCATTACCAAGTTTAGCCAAAAGAGGGCCCAGAAGTATAATAAATTACTGAAGAGTCCTAATAAACTCAATTATATTTGCACTGTCATATTCCAGCCCTGACCTAGCAAGGAAATACATACATGCTTAAAGTAAGATCCTTCACACTGGGCTTTACACGTTTAAGGAACAGCATAGAAATGCAGTAGATTTGCAGACATCCCTGAACTTTTTTCTTCCTCTTTAGGCTGGACATTTTCACATTTATTTCCTGACTTCAGTAATAGCCAGTGATGGGATTCTTGAGGCCCCTGCAGTCCTTTGAAAGCTTCCTATTTTCCTCCATGTTACTCAGTTTCCAGAACCACCATCCAAACTCTTGTGTTGTGCTTGTTACTTATTTTAAAAGATGCACAATTAACTTATCCTCCCCATTTAGGCTTCTGCTTTTGATATACTTGTATATTTTGTATTGAAATGCTGTGTCAAGTTAATTGTCTTGGTTAGAGCTCAGCATATTTCCTTACTTCATAGGACCTGGCAAGAGACAAAAATATATGGCTGGGGACAATCCAAACCATGCTAATACAACCTTCCTGATCCTATCAGCAGCAAAGTCTTTAGTAGCTTAGGGGATACAGAATCCAAAACACAGCTTAATCTTCCCATATTCCTGTGTCAGGGGGAGTTCGAGGGGGTGGGGTTGTGTGTTTAGGAAAAGGATATTAAAGTACAAGATAATTTGACAGGTACATCTGTCTGTGCACCCTGCCAGCTTGCAATAGCCTGTCACAGGAGCACAGAACTGTCTTCCTACCTGACTTGACTGTGGTGGTGGACTGCACATCTAGAGCACCTCTCCTTCAAATGTCTTAGAAGACACGCAGCAGCGGTTAGTGCTGGTAGATCTGAGTGGATAGACTTCCCATTGTTCCTGTACCACCATCATGATGATCTCAGGTACAGGTAATTACCCAGATTTTCTTTTTAAGTGGGACAAAAACATCTTGACAGGTCACATGAGAGATCTCTTTTCAAATATAGGAGGCATAACCCAAGATTGATTTCCCTCTTTTTTGAGGCTAAGAGGAAACTGGATGATGAACAAGCTTTTTTTCTTATGTTTAGAATAATTTTCTATGAGTGAATGTTCACCTAGTAACCTGTAGGATCAGCACCTTTGCATTTGACAAGTGGCCCTGTTTATTTTTCTGACTTTTGTAAAACTACTTTATTGAGAGCTTGTTAATGTTACAAAAAAAAAAAAAAACCAACAAAAAAAACCCAAACAAAAAAACATGAACTAGATGGCAAACCCATAAAAGCTACACAGCGACACCTACAAAAGTAGCCTTTTTGTTTGACTTTGACACAAGAAAATGGAAGTCAAAGTGATGCATGACTTCAGCAGTGTTCACTTTATATTACACTTGATTTTCATGCACAAAACGAAGGGCACGTTTGAAAATTGCCTACTCCTTTCTTTTTATTATTTAATCAGTCTATGCCATGTAATTTCCTATGTAGTATTAGGTTTGCCCATTCAGGGTAGTCAGCTTCAGGTAAGAAAGTTTTTCCAGTCTCCTAGAGGATATTATTGTTAGCTTATTACTTGCTCTTGTTTGCAATCTTCTAGTTACAATTATTAACATTAACATTAATGTTAACAGCTAACCATTAACAATTTACTTGCATTGCAGGCAAAGCAAGTAAATTTTTTCTCTTTGAAACGTTTCCACTTGTGTGTACCACATCTTAGTAAATCATGTCTAGATTAGTAAAAAGATGCTTTAGTGTTTAAGTAACCTGAGTCTACATGTGAGCAAAAGAATAGGTTTCAAAAGCACACTGATGACTGAAGAGTTTAATTCTCAGTGCCTGTCAAGTGGGCTTATGCATGCTCAGGTCTCTTTCGAAAGGTGCTTTTAGAAATCTTACCCCAGGCCTGAAGATTAAAAGCAATTCTTTTTGAAGCAAGCAGCTGTTGACATGTAATCTTGGGTCCTTTTGAGGGCAAGCCAGGATTCATATAAATGTTTTAAAGCTGTCTGGGTTTATTTACACAAAAGATTAAGACTAGGTTAATTTATGGATGTTGGGGGCAAATTTCAAGTAGTCTAGCCCATATCTTGTGATTTAACTACCTCTTTTAAACCCTTTTCAAGAAAAGAAGGTCTGGAATTGTTTTGAGTGATCGGGAAAAACACTCATGATTTGAAATAAGGTATTTCAGTAACTAGCTGTGTTTAAGAAAACACAGTTCTCTTCTGTGGGACAGGAAATTGGGATTGGGATTGGGAAAAACTTTCCAGCAGATCCTGAACAGAACCACTGCACATGATTCTACAAAGCTGCCCATGACCAGTGTATTAATTCCACTGCAAGGTTCCCACATGTTTTTCTGTGTCAACGCAAAGATGCTTGTGGCATCTGGGTTTATACTAAATACTTGATTTTGCTCTGCCTAAAAAAAGTAGAGTGTGGAACCCCAAACAAGAGGGGTGCATAAGTTTTCCTAAACCATGAGTGATGGATCAATCACAGGACATTATGTACAGGACATCAGTACTAAAGAAATCCTCTAAGAGTACTTGCTTGTCACATGCCCTTGTCCTGCCATTCTAGTGGCACAGCACACCTGATGTTGTCCATCTATATGCTATGCTTGTATCTGCATTCACCAGAAACAATGCAAAGTTATGCTTTGGGAATGATCTCAGCTCAGCCCCCCTTACCTGAGTACAAAACTGTGGTGATCTTCAATTATTATTTTCATCTTCCTTCAGTCCAAAAATGCTGAAACAGCTTTGGTTCATGGTGCTGAGGTATTTAAGACATATAAAAGGAAGCCCTGCACTGCAGTTCTGAGAATATAAATTGGTCTCTGGTTGAAACAATTAAATCTATGAGGTACAGATGAATTAACATCTCTGGAATAGCATGGGAAGCAGTTTGAATCCATTGTTTTGTGAATTCAGGGTAAGTCCTAGCACAGGGTATGTCTGAATACATTTATAAAACCATAGCACTAACTTTCTGCTTGGTCCTCAAACTGCTCTTGTGTGCATTTTCTAGGCAGGGAATTTTGAGAAGCAGAGGGCCTAAAAGTGAAAACATGGGTGCTTTTATTCCAGTCACTGTGAATAGGATCCACCAGCTCTTCAAATCAGCATCGAAAACTGCAACACTAAATCTGTGGTGTTTGCTTAGTTTATGTCTCTACTGGTGACCTGAACAGCCTGCCCAAAGGGCAAATGGCATATTAGGCAAATTACACCTGTACAGCTACATGCTCTTCTCTCCCAAAACACTGTTCCCACCTGTACCATTTATTGAGAATAGTCCCTTAACCTATGCTATGTCTAAAGCCGTACCTAAGAGGAGGTCAAGGTGCTTGTTTGACCCAGCAACTTGCAACTAAGTACCACACAGCTTCTCACTCACATCCCCTGCCTAATAGAGGAGGATAATTATAAAGAAGGTAAACCCCATGGATTGAGATAAGTACAGTTTAATAATTAAAATAAGGTATGATATAATACTCATATTGCTAATACTAATAATAACGAAAAGGGAAATATCAAAACAGGAGAGAGAGAGAGAACAAAAAACAACAAACAGTATGAAACGCAATACAATTGCTCACCACCCACTGATGGATGCCCAGCCCATCCTCAAGAAGCAACCAGCACCTCCTGGCCAACTCTCCCTGGTTTATATACTGGGCATGAAGTGCTGTGGTATGGAATACCCGTTTGGATCAGGTGTCCTGTCTCTGCTCCCTCCTGGCTTCTTGTGCCCCTCCTCACTGGCAGAGCATGAGAGACTGAAAAGTCCTTGACCTGGGCAAGCATTATGTAGCAATAACTAAAAAAATCAGCATGTTACCAACATTGTTCTCAGACTAAAGCCAAAACGCAGCTCTCTGCCTGCTGCTAAGAAGAAAATTAGCTCCATCCCAGTCAAAATCAGCACAATGAACCAAAACCATGCCAGGAGCTGCTAGTAGTTCAGCAGTGTAGACGGCTGGGGGACAGTGTGCAGATCATACATCACCTTTGCAGGAAGGCATGGGAGCCAGCAGGTAATTTCTCCCAAATATTTTAGGCTTTAGATTAGGGAAGGAATAACTGCGGGTGATCCCTAGCTGGATAGATTACTGTACTGCACTTCACTGTTGGGATCTGATGAGAAGAATTCTGTGATGTTGATGAGGCTTCTGACCTCTCTGATGTATTTTTAAAAAGAAGATATTAAATTTAAAAAAAAAGCAGGGCTGGGGGAGAGTTTTGTTAAGTGTGAGAACTGAGTATCCCAGGAGCTTCCAGGGATCACAATACCTATGGTGATGCATGTGGTGTAGACAACCTCCATCGAGAAGACTTGATGTTTACTAAGAAATGCACGACATATTTTAAAGGACCACTGAAGACTTAAATTTCTGGCATGAGGATCCTATGTATCTTTCTTCATTTTCCTTGGTGAGGAAGACTCCATGAAAATGTAGTCATTTTTGTACCAGATCTAGTGCACATGACATTCAAACTGGAAGAGATATTTTCTCTGTTCTTGTGGTGTGAAAAGACCTTAATCTGAGTCTTAAGGACCCATTTCCTAGATAGCATCCTTCTGGTTTACCAAATTTTATGGAGATGTCGCAAAAGCTATTGTTCTGTGGCTGTATCTGTTGTTGTGTTGTTTTGGGGTAAAATCAGAGATGAGGTAGGTGGACAAGGGTATTAGGCAACAGCTATATTAATAGAACAACAGCACCTGAATAGAATTATCTGTGATGTCCAGTTACTAGTGTAGTTTCTGGCACAGTTTTTGCCTAGGCCTACTGTCACCTCCTAAGTCACAGTGGACCAAGGATCATTCCCAATATACTGTCTATATATTGGACGACCTAATTTAGGGACTGTGTTAGTTCAATATCATAGAATCATAGAATAGTTAGGGTTGATAAGGACCTTAAGATCATGAGTTCCAACCCCCCTGCCATGGGCAGGGACACCTCATGCTAAACCATGTCTCCAAAGGCTCTGTCCTACCTGTCCTTGAACACCACGAGGGATGGAGCATTTACAACTTCCCTGGGCAACCCATTCCAGTGCCTCACCACCCTTACAGTAAAGAACTTCTTCCTTATATCCAATCCAAATTTCCCTGTTTAAGTTTGGACTTAATCATGGACATGGCTAAGCTGCATCTCAGAAAGAAAATGGGCTCTAGCATAACCTAAGTAACTGCTTCTTGGGGATACTGCTGGATTTTAGTGGAGTTAACTCAAATATGTTTAATTAGCCCCTGATGTTCATTAGCTGACTTGCATCTAGAGTAGAATAATTTCATGCATTCACTGTACTCTCCCGTAGACATTTCTCTGTTTGAGAATAGACAGCCCAAGACTACTAGGGGGTGAAGTGACCATGAGATCACTTGCCTCTGCAACAGCCACTGAAAAGACAGTTGGAAAGATAAAAAGAGGGATAAATTCAAAATTACATCAATACTGCATGCAGGCCAGGAGGTCAATGTTATGATCCTCACTAAGAAGGCTGCAATCAGACTACAAGTTGTTAAGACATCAGAGGCAATAAAAACAACAAACCTTCAATGTTACCAGCAAGACACAGGCTACTCCTCTGTATACTTATTTTTCTATTTATTTACAGTCTGATCTTTGTGTAATGAGGAATAGGGTGTAAGAAGTCAGCAAGTATTTCTGAGGCCAAATCTTTTCCGCTGAACCTGATCAAGCATTTGCAGAGCAATAAATCAACAGAAATGTTTACAGGCTGAACTATTGCTGTCTACAGTTGAGCCACTGCTTTGAAAGATAGGAGGGGCTCATCCACCTTGTGACAAAAACTATCGCCCTTTTTCTGCAAACGTATTTTGTAATGATGATGAATATTTTGAATATGTTGACCAATTTCCATGTTTTCATAAGAAAATCTTTTGAAGTCTGGATGACAGAAATAAAGTATTTTGTTCATTTTCAAAATCAAGATAGAAAATCAGGCAAAGAAAATTATCACCAACCCCTGGAAAGTGCTAGAATTGCTCAAAACAATATTTCTCTAAGTTTTAAGCTTCTATGCAAAGAGTAGAACTATTTTCAGGATATCTTTTTGTCCCAGAAGAGGTAATTTCAGCAGTTAGTTCAATTTAGTACTTTTCAGAATCCAAAATACTTTCAGAATTTTATATGTGCTCAGCTTGAATTTGCCTTTGAAGCTTGCTGCTTTCACACCTCAGAAAAGTTTGTTTGCCCCAAAGCATGACTTTCTTTTCTAACTATATTTGTAGGCTAGTAAGTTAGTCAGAAATCTTATTTAGGATTAGTTTAAAAAAATTATAACTTCTATAAATGTTAGACAGCAACACTTACTTGGGTATAAAATTTCAGGGTTATTATCTTCTCGATATTCCACAAATATCCCAAACAAAACAATGATGATCACTTCCAGAAGAAGAGCCACGGCTGAAAACTTGAACCTCATGTTGGTGTTAGGAGCTGAAGGCATTGCAGGAGAGTAGTTGGTTGTGAGAGCCTGATAAAAGGCACTTGCCTCTAGTGGGTACTACTTCAGTGGATCTGGGCGATATAGCAAGAAAAAAAATGAAAAACCCAAGCACACCGTCACACCCACTGTGGGAGGGAAACAGTATGGGTCAATATAGTGTTTTCTATTTCCCAGGCTATTTCTGTGCATGAAATGCTGGCTTACATTTATTTTTTCAGCTGGTAATTCACACGAGCTCATTTAACTACAGATATGCTTCTCACTGTCATATAGGTATTTTAAAAAGGAAACAGCATATAAGAAAATCTCACAGGGACTGGTTTGCTGCATGTAGTAAGGAGCACAACTTCAACCAATTGCATTTCTGGTAGCAAATAATTCCTTCAAGTTGTAGATTTCATTTTAAAAGGTAAATAGTTTTTCATCTTCTATGAAATATGGATAATATCCTATCACTTCATATAGGATATGATAAACAAAGAGAATCTCTTTCAGCAGGGTTGGGAAGTTCTTATTTCACAGTGAATGAAGTAGTCAGAGCACATGTTCTTACTGTGAATTCTAATTAAATAAAAGTAATTGGATGTCAAGAGAAAAAAGAATACTCCTAGTTGTAAAAAAATAAAGTTAAAGATTATTAAAAAGAGGAATCAGAAGAAACATCTCAGATTTTCAATTTTATTTTTTTTATTTTTTTGCATTTTCCTTAGCTCTTATTATTCCTTAGACAATGAAAATAGTTCAAAGATCAAATCTACAAGGTTCTAAAAAGGTCAGTTTGTAAACTTTCTCATGAATTATATTTCACTTAGATTTCTGTTGAGTGATCACTTGTTCTTGAGATTCACATTGCTTGTCAAAATTTGTCTTGACCCTTCAAAAGTTTTTATTTTATTTATGTGATACTAACTTGTCCTCTGTTAATCCAGTATTCAGAAGAGAGGCCAAAATTGTACCATATGAGCCTCTATTTAATGAAAAATTTTATGTGTTAAAAAAATGGATGATACTGCAGTAGTAGGTTACTTGGTCATGAAGTAGTAGTGCTAAGATACTGCAATAAAATTCCATGTCAATCCTTAAGTACAAAAATCAGCATAATCTATCAACACTGGGAGGTGGCACTAAATTTAGCTGCTGTCCTGTTGAGACTACTGTTGGAAAACTACTCACATGCTACGAGATTTAAAAAAACTCATTTCTTTTTAAGGTACATCTATACTGGTGTACTGAGCAGTGCCAGGACCTTTTCTCTGGTCCTGAGGCCAATTTTATTGATATTTATCAATCTTTAATTTGCCAAGCAGGTTGGCAAGACACCTTTCAGGAATGTTGCCCTGTTCATGGTAACTCCTGGACTAAGCCTGCTTGACACAGCTCTTGTAATCTTAAGAGTGGACAAAAGTAAGAAGAATTTATCAGTCTAGCACAGAATCAAACTTGCAAGTGTCAAAGCTAAAATAAGCATAAGTGTATTTTTTGTTTCTAGCGACTGTATATCATTTGAACAGCTCAAAGAGCGGAAGCAGAGCTTTGTTAAAAAGCTATTGCTCATCCTTGCTGTACCACAGGATAAGGCAATGTTTGATTGTAAGGTCCTGTGAGCTCCCTCATTTTTACAGGAAGTGATAAAAAAGAACAAAATCATGAGCAAAGTTCATTGTTTTTTACCCATAGCTCAGCCATGAATATATTGCCTTATTCATTATATATCGTTTTACTCAGTGAATATCTCACATGATATGTGTGCAATCCTTATATGAAGTCCTTCCAGGGGTGCAGAAAAGGCTCTCTGTTGAAATCTCACTGGGGAAAATGACTTTTAATAAATTTTTAAATTTTAAAATGAATCAAGTTCCTTCAATTAGGTCTTTCTCTGAGATTATTACTTTATATATTAAATTTCATGCAGGTACAAAACGACACACACACAGACACAATCTATATTGAAAGAGTATTCATGCATGTCTGTTGGTCACATTAGTCAGTGGAAAATTATGTACATTTAAACAAAAGGATTGATCTTAATTCTCTTGAACAGTGGTCTTAAAAAAGAATAATTATAATTCTCATTTCCCTTCATTGATAATTATACAAGCTTTTGATAAAGAGTTCAGATTTAAGCATCCAAACTCTAGAAACTTGACTCAGGACCAAGCTTTTCAGACGATTTTCAAGGACTTGCCAAATGTGCTCTTTTTCACTGCTGTAATATATATGGCCTGTGAAGTGCATGAGATGGGGGTCTGTTACCTAAGAGTGCAAACAAAAGCTGTTCTTCAGCATGTACATGCCAGAAAGCTGATGTACCAGTGTAAGTGGAATACACAGTTCTTAAGAATTGCATTTAACAAAACTTACGTTGCCTTCTCAACAGCTTGCCCCATGCCCAGCTTTCCTTCCTCCTGCTCCACCTTTTCCTTTTCTCTTTTTCTATTTGACCAGAAAGAGCAACTTAGCTATTTTCCCAGCAGCCAAGGTATATATATATACAGGTGATTTATATGCTAATAGGGACTCAGAATAAATTGTATTCCAATATTTATGTATTCCAATATTTGTTCTTCTAACTAAATGAAACGCATATCTCTCACCATTAATGAGGCTTATTCTGTCAACAATTAACTTCAGGTATTACTAACTTTGAGCAAAAAGGACTGACAACTCTAGCTGCAGGAGAATTACCAGTGAATTACAACCAGTTAAGCTGTGTTTGGCTAAAACATACCTTGTTGAAGAGGAGTGTGGTGGACTGTTTGCAAGAGATAACAGAGTTCGTTCTCCCTGACACAAGGACTAGTTTGTACTGCTGTTGTGATAAAAAAGGGACTACTGCAGGGAAGATGGATGTTTTACATATGCCTTAAAGCCCTACCTATCTATCATCCTGGAAAAGCAATAAGAAGTGTTATAAATGAGATAAATCTTTTAACTGTCAGATGCTACTTGCAAAAGATTTTAGTGACAAATCATGTATGTTTATTGTCCTTGCTTGTGATGTGTTTTTGTCTTGCTCCCCATCAGTCCTGTGTGCTTAATTGTATCTGGTCAGTTGAGGTGGCTCTTACAGAGATATTCCCGCCAGTGTGAAGTCTCTTACTTAAGTCTTGCTCTAAAGGAAAGCAGGTATTAAGCTTCTGAAAAAGCACAAGGAAATTACTTCAGACATGGCAATGTATCATCTCAGTTGACTGAGGTCTGTCTCCTGGTTTCAAAATCCAGCCTGGAGCCTGTATATGTGTTCACTCTACTCTTTGCATCTTTCCAGAAGAGCACTAGGAAAGGGCATTTGTCAGGGAAATTGAAAAGTCTTTTGCTCCTTGCATGATATAGACTTTTCATGATACAGCTTTTGTTACTGGTATTTGCAAATGCAAGTGCATATCAATCTGAGATATCTTCAGGTTTCTCTTGGGTTGCAAATATTCTACAACATCACTTTATTTAGATTTGTTGCCTCAATGTGTTCTTGTTACATTCATGTTATTAAAAACAAAAATTTCTCAAAACAAGATTTAAATGGAAACTGAAAGTTTCATTCTACCAAAGCCTTTCCTTTGGTAAAAACTCAGTACTGGAGATGTTGTTAAAAAGAAAAATGAAAAAACGCATCTAAAAATAATTATTTTTCAATGTTCTTTAAAGGATTTGTTAGCTATAATAGCTATAGAGTTATTTGCAACATAGAGTGTGAAGGGTTGTTTTCCATTGTCAAGGAAGTTATGTATTCTTCTGAATTACCTTTTACCTGGAGATCACATTATGTGCAAAGGAGTCTTCAGTTTCTAGCACCCCCCTCTATGTTCCTCTGCCAGTTGTGATAAAATTTCAGTGAACTCACACCTCTGGGTGAAAGTCCTGATCGTCTGTGAATCTGCACAGATGCTGCAACATGCTGATTCCCCTTATTAGTTTCACTCTTCATAACAACTAATATGATATTTCTGTACCAATTCTTTTCTTTCCCTAACAGTTCCTATTATATAGTGTTTTTGTTGTGTTGTGTTGTTTTGTTTTGTTTTTCCTCCCTTGCTTCCAAATGCCACCTTGTCGAAAATATTGTCTAGACATATACAATATATTTTTCTGGTCTTATGTGCAGATCACACGTACCCCTTAAACAATAATTTAGGTGCCGTACTTTGCACTAAGGTGAGGATCCATTTCTTTGTGAGGAATAATGGTAAAAATGTGCTTTTGAGAGTGACTCTAGAGTATGATGACATTAGGTGATATAACTGCAATGGTAAGTGCATTCTCATATTTTCCTTGTCTGTGACAAGCTGATCTGCAATCCCTGGCTTGTGGCTCAAGAACTTTTGTTCCTATTACCAAGTTTTTTACCAGTTTTCTATGTTTTTGAGTTTTAAAGTATGTATCAAATTATCTGTAAATATTGTGGTTTACATTTTCCTGTTTGCTGAAAACTAGATAAATCCCTTTCAGCTTTAAAAATCCTCCTTTTTTTTTTTTTTGCCCCCAGTAGTCTTTACCATTACAATTTTGCTCTGTACAGTTCTGTGCTATTCCTATAAATGTTCTATGTGGTTCATTTACTGTAAGGAAAGGACACATCACCAGAGTGATGACTGACTGCAGAAAATTTGGCATACTTTCTTTTTCAGCAAGAGGGCCTGTTTCCATGTATTCCACCTCATTGTGCCCTCCTATTGAGAAGGTTAAGTACTTCTCTCTCCACTATATCTTGCAGAGTACACAAATGGCACATTTAAATAAGCTACATAATACTAAGTTTGCTGCAATAATTGCAATGCATGCATGAAGAGTCAAAGAGGGTGGTTAGGGAATATTCCCCAATGAAAAAATGTGTTAGATTCAATCTCTTTAGCTAATATAGCTCCTACTGCTACTTTTGTACAATCCATCCATAGCAGCCAGATCAGAGAGGATGGCTATAGGCTGTAGGAAATAGGCTCCAGGGAGCTGATCCCAGAAGACCTCCTGCAATGTGTGGCACTTTCATCATTTATATAAACATCAGCCTCTCAGAGGCTGAGCTCTAATGTTCTAGTGGCACAGCAGCAAAGTGTCCTTTAGTGGCAATGCATTAAATA